CTAAAAAGAAAAAAAAAAAAAGAAACAACAAAAAATGGATTAGTAATATATGTTTATGCAATATGTAAAAGTAAAGTAAATTAGTGCATTAAGTGCTTAAGCCATTATCACATGCAAAGCTTAATTTTGAGAGAGAAAAAAAAAAAAAAAGAAATAAGAAAATATTTATTAGAATTGAATGTTTTCCTTTTATCATTTATTGCGCTTTTGCATTTCTCATCCACATTTTGTTCAAATTCAATTACACTACCAAAAAGCTTAAAAGAATTGTTAATGGCATTTTTCTTTTCTTTTCTTTTTTTTTTTTTGAATTTTATCACATATTTTTACACCAATACTATTTTATTATTTCTCTTTATCATTTTCTAATTTTTGTTTTTTTTTTTTTTTTTTTTTTTTTTTTGAAAGAAAAAATTTTGACATTGTCATTTTACCATAAATATAATTATAATTTTATTCAGATGTAAATGAGTTAAAATTTTCACAAACATACGTATTCCATATTTTATATTAGTCTGTTTATGTTGCTTAAGGGAAAAAATAATACAATTTTATTAATATTTAATGATAGCTTTGATAATTTTGCAAGTTTGAAAGTATAAAAAAAAGTATTTTTTAAGTTTTTTTTTTTAGTTTAGTAGTAGTAAATAGTTATTGTTATATTAAAATAAATTTTTTAAATTATTTCATGTTTGATAAGTTTAAATTATTTTTTTTTTTTCATCTTAGCAATAGGTATGTAACAATATTTTGCATTACCAATTTAACTATTTTATATTTAACTGTTTAAAAATTTTTCATTAGTGTTATTTTAAAGTTTAAATCGATATAGATAATTTATTTAAGTTAAAATTTAATTTCAAAATAACATACAGGTAAATTGCATTGACCAGAGAACATAATATATTTCAAAGTTTATCTGAATGGTCTTATTTTATCATTTTTTATCAACAACAGTTCAATTATAATATTGTTTTCAATCTTACAACAATCAACTTTACTGTGAGTACTTTAATAATTTAAAAATTTCGAAATTTCAAGTTAACTTTCAAAAAAGATTAAAATATTTGATTATAAATTTTAGCAAAATCAATGGACGTTTTCTTTCTTTTTTTTTTTTCATTTCACTAAATAATAAATATATTAGCTAAGGTTTTCTTTCGCTTTTTTAGCATCAATTTATAAAGTTTAAAAAAATTTACTTATATATATATATATTGCTATTTGCCTTCATTAGTAAAAAGTTTTTTTTTTTTTTCCATCTTTTTCGTGTTGAAATTATACGAAATTTTTTAAAATAAAATGATTCAGAATTTTGAATCAATTCTTTAATTATTACATTTATTATTTTTTTTATTAAATAATAAATATATCTTGCATCCTAAAGTGATAAATATGTTGAGCAAAATTTTTTCCTTTTTTAATTAAAATTAAAATGTATCAAAATAAAAATTTCAAATTAAAGAAAGAAAAAAAATTACTTAATTATTTCCATATATATGCACTATTTTTTGTTTCATAAAATATATAAATATAATACTTTCCTTTTCTTTTAATTAAATAAATGAATTTAAATATATTGTTTTGTCATTGTAAATTAATAATTTTAATAAAAAAAAAAATAATTTTCAATAAAAAAAAGTAATTATTGTCATATTTTGTAAAAAAGAAAAAGAAGGAGGAAAAGAAACAGAGAAATATTGTATGAATGATTAAACTGTCAGATATTAACAGCTGTTAAAAAATAAATATTTAGTGGTAGCAATTTTTTTTCATTCTTTTTTTGGTAGTATTTTCTAAATATTTCTATCTTTATATTTCAATCGTTTTGCAATATTGTTGTTTTCCTCAACACTTTCATCTTTTTCTTGTTTTTTTTTTTCCTTTTCTTAATGTATTAAAACAAAGTAAACACACAAAAAAAGGAGGGAATTATATATCGGAGTTTCAATTTAAATCAAATAAATATGGAATGTAATTTTTTTAATAACTTTATTCAAATTCAAAAATAATGCATATTTAGCAATTTCTTTTTTTTTGTTTACTAGCTAAGTTTTTTTCTTCTATGAGAAGTTACTTATTTAACAATTTTAAATTATGAAATGCAGCAATTATTTATTAAAAAAAAATTATTTTGAAAATTTTTCATCACATCTCACTAATATCACTAATATTTTAAATATATTCTTTGATTTATTCATAATTATTTTAACATATATGTATTTAGGTATGATGAAATGGAAAAAAAAAAAGAGTTACTCAATACTGATACCTTAATAATAAAACTTTTGTCTTTTGTTTACGATATTATTTGATAAGCAATTTTCATCTCATTCAAGTTTAGTAAACAAATTGATCCATGCAAATATCATCCATCATTCATGCAATTTCGTATTATTCTCGATTAGCTATGCTAATACTTGTTAAATATTGAGGTGACACTTAAAACACATCCATTTCTCTTCCTTCGTATTAATTTGGAAAGAGAAAGAAGGAGAGAGAGAGAGAGAGAGATTAAGAAGTATGTTGTTAATAATTTGGTTTGTTTTGTCCGTTATTATGAATAAAATAAATTATGCAACTTTTGCTTTTCTTTTTTTTTGATTTTGCATATAATGGTAAGATTTATTTTAGTATTAAGTTAAATTTTTAATGCTGCCTATTTAAAAAATTTTTTATTTGTTAGTGATAATAATTATTAACAGTCTTTTTTTGAAAAAAAGTTAAAGATGAAATGAAAAGTATTTGCAATGATTGCAAGTTTTTAATATATTTCTCATTATACTTTTTTTTACAAAAAATACGAAAATTTATTTCAAGCGAATAAATTATAATTTGTGTAAAAATTTCTTGCGCAATGATAATTTATTAAATTATAAAAATGAACGATAAAAAAAAGACAATGAAGAAATTTAAGTTTAATATATGATAAAGATTATTGCACTTTGACTTTCTGACAAATTATCACTTGTAAAATTGATATAATTGAGAATAAGGAAATTGAAGATAATTTTAAAATGAAGGATGATGGTAATGATGATATTGCTGACCCATTTTTGTCATAAATTTTAACTCTTACTTTTTTTCAACTTCAATCCAGTAGGGAGCTATTTAACAATATCGAGGGATTATCAAAAGCAGAAGTAAACAAAAAAAAAAAAGAAAAAGGAAGTAGAAAACGATAAAACTCCACTATTGTCGCCTTTTCTTCAATCTTGCTCTTCCATTTTTTTATTTTTTGCAAATATTACTTAAAAATACATCTTAATAAGTATATGAGTATAATAATATTCAATTCTAACACATTCGATTATTTAATAGTTTTACTTTTAATTTCTAATATCATTTCATATATTACTTTATCAACTGTTATATATTTTTCAATCGTTTCTGATTTATTTTTTAAATTTGCATTTTTTTAAATAATCATTTTTTAATATTATTTTTTATCTTATCAGAAGATTTACTTACTATTTGAAAATCATTTCATTTTGCATTTTCATTTTGACTTTATAAAAAAAAGAGATAAAATTTCAAATCAAAAAAGCAAACATTTGATAAATGAAAAAATTCTCAAAAAATAAAAAAAAAAATCAACTAAATTAAAAAATTACCCAAAGATTTTTTCTTTTCATTTTTGACCAATTAAATGATAAAAATGAATAAAATAGCAAATAGCAATATATGATAAATTAGTAAACATTTTGTTATTATTATTGTTAGTAGCATCGAGAGTTTAACATTCGAATATATTATTCAGTATACATCTGTCAATGAAAACCGGAATTCAATAAATGATTCCATAAAACAATGAATTAATTAATGATGAATTAACAGGATTATCCTATTTGAATTCACTCTTACTCGTTTCTTCAATATTTTCTTTTCTATTTGTTTCATCAAACTACTAAAATCATTTTGATATTTTTCTAATGCTTCCTGTAATTTACCTTATAAATAATAGTTTTTCTTTTCGTTTCTGTAGCAGTAGTTTTAAAATTTTTAACAAATTTAGTTTTTGTGGATAAAATTAATTCTTCCAGTTTTTTGTACAACAAAAAAAAAAAAATCTCACTTTTTAATTTTTATTATTCATAACAAAATTAATAAATTTAATTAAGTAATATAAAAATTCATTTGCTTCATTAATTTTCACACGTTATTTCTTATCCTAAATTTATTTATAAAAACTTTTTACTAATCAAAAAAAAAAAAAAACACATCTTAAACAATTTTATCAATATTACAGCTATGGCAATGTTGGCATTAACTTTTGCACTTTATTATAATTAATACTTTTTTCTCGAATGCAAATTAATTTGATACAAATATCAGTTATTTCATTACTAATTAATCCTACTACTAGTGTTACCATGAAAGTAGTATGTTCTCACCAAGAAAAAAACATTTTTTGTTGAGTCAAAATATTCGCATAAAATTTTTGACGAAAAAAGGAAATAATCTATCTATACGAACTGATAAATTTATTGGCGGAAATATTTCATTTATTTAACTGATAGTTTTTCCGCTTATAGTTTTGACATTTTTATCTCATTTCTTTTGATCATAACTTATTTTCTTTTCTTTTTCGTCTCCTTTAATTGATAAATCAATAAATACAAATCATAAATTATTTATTACTCATTAATATCTATTTCATGATATTTAATTAATTGTTCAAAATTTGTAATCAATTATTGCTTCCCTTCCGTTTCCTTTTTTTTTCACTTAATTTTTTATTTTTCGTTGTTATTTCTTGGAATTTGTTTGTTAAAGTTACTATTTAATTGAAAATTTTTTCACTTCAAATGGTTTCAAAAAAAAAAACCCTTAAAAAGCCTCTTAAATTAATCATTGAATGCTTTTTATAATTAAATTATTTTGTATGTATATTTTATGTCAAATATTGAAAAAATAAAAATTACTGTTTTATTTCCTTTCTTCCTTCCTTGTTTTATTTTTCATCAAAGGTAAATTGGTAAATTGGTTCAAAGTGAAGGATGATGGCATCATCAACAACAACAACATATGAGCAAATCTTGCGTACATTACCTGGATCTTTCGTTCGTTCCAAAATATTTCGAATTGTTATGCAGGTGAATAATTATTTCACCATTGACCGAAATGACAAAAGTCAGAAAAAAATTTTTGATCTTTAAAAGTAATAATTTATAAAATCTTAAATTAAACTACACATAACCTAATTAATGGTTGAATACCAACGTATTAATACATTAAGCATTTTTTTTAATAAGCTAATTTTTTTTTTTTAATTATCAAGTTTAATTGATTATTAACTTTGACTTAATATAAATTATGATTTTCTAATATGTGTAAATTTAGTGATTAAAATATGCTTGTAATTATTTCAACTTTCAAGTCTATTTTAACTTTGTTACATTTTGCCATTTGTGAAAGTTAAGTAATTAAAAAAATTGTTAAATTTGCCAATGAAATAAAAAGTGGAAAAAATTTTGACTCAGTTTGAAAATTTTTTCATATTTTTGTTCATAGTTCTGTCGAAGAAAAATTTTTTAACCATCTGATTTTTTTTATAGCTTCCTGCTAAGCGCAATTAATTACAATTTGATGACTTCATCAAATTTAAACAGATAATTACTTTTAACAGTTGTTAATTACACCTTCAGGTACACCTCAAAAGATTCAAAATCCTTTATCATTGTTTAATTTTGCTGGAAAATACATAACATTTTATTGCTTATTGTCGCTTTGTTTTTTTTTCTTTTTATTTTCATTCTTATTTTTTTGTCCTTTATTTCAACAAAAATTTTAATTCCTGTTATATCACTTTTTTTTTTTTTAAATAAATATTAAATAATATCTCCAAAAAATATTTGTTCTTTTTTTTGCAAAAATTTTTTCTAATTTTTTGAAAATATTTTATTATCTATCACTATTTAATCAGTTACAGTTATTTATTAAATAATGACTCTTAATTTTAAAATTTCTTTTTCCTTAATTATAGAAATCTATGAGTAAAAATCTCTTGACTGATATTTCATTTTGCCTTTTTAAAAAACGGTAAACAGAGAGAAAAGGAGAAAAGGCAACTGATAAAGTTTGTTGATTAAATTTTTTTTATAGAATGCCTTGGCTATTTTTCAAAACAGAAAACTAGACTTATTAGCTGGCCAATTAATTAATCAACTTGTCAGTTTGACATTTTCTTTGAATACTTTAAAATTAACTTTTACAGCAACAAGCAAAGAAAATAAAGTACAATTAACAGAAACATTAATAGCAATAGTAATAATAATGATAATAATAATAATAATAATAATAAAGAATATTTACTTAGAACTTGTAATGTTTTAATTGAGTGAGATAGAATAAAAAAGATGAAAATTCATATAAATATACCATTCAGTTAAACAAATGATAAATATTGCCAAAAGAAATATATATAAAGGTAAACTAGTAAGGCAGTATAGTAGTATCATTAGCTGTATTTTGTTAAGCATCAGTGATTATAAACAACAAAAACAACAAAAAAAAAAAAAAGAATGAAGCTTTTTTTTTTTAAAAAAAAAAGCCTTAAGTCTAGAAAAGAAAAAAAAGAAGCTAAAGCCAAAAATGTTATTGTTATGTTATGTAAGAATAAAGCAAATTGTTAATTTATGCTTCAGTTCACTTATAATATAAATTTGAATCATACTATTTCCTTTGCACTTCCTATTTACTTATAGTAAATAAACATTTTTTTTTTATGGCTATACTCTTAAAGTTATTGTTGTAATATTTGCTGCATCGTCTTTTTTTTTTCTCATAATTATTATTATTAAACATTCCATATTAATTATTTTAGTTTAATACTTCAATTCTTATTAACTGTTTCTTTCTCTCTTGTTTTTTTTAATTTAATTATTATTTTCTTTATGAATTTTTTTTTTTTTGTTTTTCATTTTTGCTTATTTTGCAACGTACGTGCATGCATAATTCAATAACTTTATATTTATATATTTGAAATGAATTTAAAATTATGAAATCTAAACATTTGCTAAATTACATTAAAGTATTAAACGCAATAAATTTTGCTTCAATTGCAACTACTGAATTAATTCAATCTATAAAATACTGTTAACTTATTATTAAATTGAATTGAATTTACTAAAAGTAACAAAGTGAGACTGAATCAGATATGGAGAAATTTTTCAATTATAGCAGCTAATTTCTAAAATATTATTAAACTTTATTCAAAAATTAAATTTGTATAGGATGAAGTAAATAACAATGATACTATAAATGCATTATTCTTTTTTTTCTTTAAAATTCTTTTACATCTAATTTTAATAAAATGAATCAACTTAATGTGTGATTAAAATTTTAACAAAATTCGAGAATAATTTTTGTCTGGTGAATATTGCAGGTGCTTGCATCGTCAACTTCTTATAATGATGAAAGTTCAACGCTATCTGAATTAAATTTTATTTTTAATCACACAATAACACCTTCTCCTCATTTCAAGCAAACATCAATGAACGATAATATAATTAATCGTACTAATGAAGCGTTATCCAATATTACTATCGAACATATGCAGCAAAAATTGGATCATCCAAAGTAAACTTATCTTAGTCTTATTACTTCTATCATTAATTTAATTAATTCAATGGATTCAGTTTTTTAGAGCAATAAAAACTTCTATGAGTTATTTAAGCATAAAAGAAAATATATATAATTCAAATTAAAATTTCAAATGTTATCATTTATTTGCGTACATATGTTTGATAAAATTTATTACCCGAAATGATTTATTAACTATTAATAGTAAAAGTCTTGCTTTTACATAAAAAGGAAATAATTTTGTAAGTTATTTCAATATTGTTTCAAATAAGTTTTACCGCTACTAATTCATTCAAATATTTTTACTCAAAATATATTTTTTAATAATATAGGACGCAATAAGTATCTATTACATATTAATATGAAATAAGTTTTAGTTTAATTTAATTAATTGACTTTCAATATTTAACAAAACTTTCACCCATAAACTAGCTTCTTGTTTCCGTTACTCAATTTAACAATTAAATAATTTATTGTTATTTAAGTGAATAATAGTTCGTATGAAAATATTTCAAAATTCTAAAATTTCATTAAAATCATACTAATGAATTCAAGAAAAAATACTGCAAAAAATTGTAAAGCCAAATATTCGATGGATAATTAATTCATTCATTCACTCAATGTATTACAAATCAATGATAAAAATATGTAAATTTATTAGATTAAAATTTAATTTTTTTCAAAATTAAAATTATGATTAATTCTATTACAGATTTATATGTATCATAGCAATTGGAAGTGTATTTGCTTTCTTAACAACAGGTGGTAATTTGATGGTTATGGTAAGCTTCAAAATTGACAAGCAATTGCAAACAATCAGTAATTATTTTTTATTCAGTCTTGCTGTTGCTGATATTGCTATTGGTATTGATTTCTTTTTTCTCTTTTATTTTCTACCAATGATCATTTTTTATTTTTTTTTTTTTTTTTCATTTTAAATTTAAACTTAATAAAATTAAAAAGAAAAATGTATTTAGCATTTATTTGAAAAGAAAAAAATTTAAGAAAACGAAAAAAAAAAAAAGACATCATAATTTGTACAATTAGATTTATCAAATATTTTTCAAAACTATTAAATATTTAAAAAAGAAAAATTTCTATTAGAAGTAATAAAAATTTCTAACATATATGAACTAATAATTTGTTTAAATGGCTCATCTGAATTTTAAGGTTCAACTTTTAAATACATCTAAATTCTATTAATCATTTGAATAGTTTAGAAGACAAATTATTAAGTAAAATTACTAAGATATTCTTGTCTATTTGTTGTTTATCTAGTTCTCATCTAAAATTTTATCATTCTTATTCAACCTATTTTTTAAATTTCGTAGAAAAAACTTTTTCAGTTTTTCTCTTCACATTTTTGGAAATAAAATGTTTCGATGATATTTTCATAATTTTTCTTTGGAAATTTTTTTTTTTATCTTTAGCAAATACAAAAAGAATAAAAATTTTTTTATGAAACAAAGTGAGCCTTAATTCTTAAAAATAGAAAGTAAAGATATGCATCATACTTAAATATGTCTTTGGAAAACCAATTATTACTGCATGACCAATTTAAAAAAGAAAAACTAAATCAATGATAAACAGACAAATTTTACCAAAAACAAAAAAAAAAAAAAATTTCAAATTAATTATTAATATTTTGAAACAAATTTATTTTCATTGAATTTGAAACAGAAAGAAATGTAGAAAAATAAAAAAAAAAAATATTTTTTCTTTGTCAAAGTCTTAAATAACGAAACAAATTTAGCCTAAATCATATCTTTTCATATTTTTCATTTTTTTTTTTCACCGCTGAAAGCCTAACAGTGCAATTTGGGTTAAATTCCCAGATGAATCATAAGATGATAGGACGAATATTCTTGAATTTCAATAATTTTTCAACTCTATCATTTCATATTTTTGATTGTAAATATAAAAATTAATCTTAAAAATATTTATATTCAAAATATTCTATTCATTTTTGAATAATCCTCAAAAAAAAAAAAAAAAAAAAAATTATTAATTGTAGTAATTATTGTTACTGTTTAAAGTTTAGGTTATGTCTCATTTTGCCAATAATCTTGGCCAAAAGAAGAAAGAAATGAAAAATTTCAGGATTAGTATTGATGCCAGTAATGATATATTATTTGTTATTTGTATTTAACGTTATGCAAGCATCATTTTTCAATTATTTTGAGCAAAAAATAACGAAAAAATATTTTTAAAGATTAGTATCAAACCAAATAATAATAAATTATATGATTGCTAGTATTATTATATGAAGTCTAACTTATATAAACAATGTTTCATTTTTTAAAAAAGAGAAAAAGAAAAAAAGAATTTCAGGGATAGTATCGATCCCAGTTATGACATACTATATGGCCGCTGATACTGTTTGGGGTTTAGGCTATGCAATGTGCCAATTTTGGTTATGTCTCGATTATATGATGTGTAATGCATCTGTGCTCAATTTATTGCTTATTTCATTTGATCGTTATTTCTCTGTTACTAGGCCATTAACTTATCGTCCAAGGTTTATTCATTTTTTTTTTTTTTTTTAAATATTAATTACACCATACTGAAAAAGTAAGGTTTTTCATCATTTGTCAAAAATTTATTCAAACTTAAATTTAGAAAATTTATTCCCATTCATTCTGCTTCTAATTTTCTTCCAAATTCCTCTTAAAATTATTTATTATTATTAAAAAAAAAAAAATAAATTTAAAGTATTTTCATCCAAGAAAATATATATTATTTTCCCAACAATTTGCTATTTATAGAAGAACTGCAAAGAAAGCATTCTTGATGATAGCCAGTACTTATATTGCTTCAGCTCTGCTTTGGCCACCATGGATTATTAGTTGGCCTTATATTGAAGGTATTTTTAATTTTTAAAGTTTACTAAAAACAAATTGTTAATTTTCCATTTTATTTATTTCCTTGCCTAAAGTAAATGTAATGAAAATACAAATGATTTATTGTAAAAAATTATCATTTCATAAATTATTCCTCTTTTTTCCACCAAGAGTTTATCACTTTAATTTATAAATTGATCATATATAAAGTTTTTTCTGTTTAAAACAAAACTGTAATAGTACACTCGTTTATTTAACAAGCTTTAAATAAAAATCTTGCAAATTTCACAGTAATTAAAATTAAAATTTGCTTAATTTAGGTCGATTTACTCATCCTGACCGTTGCGTTATACAATTTATTGAAACGAATCAATTTGCTTCTGTTGGTACAACAATTGCTGCATTTTGGTTACCTCTTGTAATTATGATTATATTATATTCACGAGTATATTATGAAACAAAAAAGCAACAAAAAGATATGTGCCTTTTGCAAGCTGGCCAGGTATCAATATTAATATAATACTAGTGATAATAATAATGGTAATAACAACAATAATAAATGATAGTAACAATAACAATAAATGGCAGTAATACATTCTGATTTAATTAATATTAATTCTTAGTGTGCTATCATATTATTCTATATTAGCAAACTTCAAATTTTGCATGTTTATTTCTGTTAGTTTATTAGTTGAAACAATAGCTAATTCATTTTACTTTTATTTCTTCTTTTTTTGATCAAAACCAATTAACAAATTGATAATACTAATAAAATTTTTTCGTTTTTCTAATGAATAAAATGTTTATCAGAAATTTTATCAGAAATGTTTATCAGAAATGTAAAATTAAAAACATTTATGCATTAATTATTGCAGAATCAGCATAGGAAAGATAAGAAGAAAGCACAGTCAAATGCATCAACAAATTCAACCAAAAATTCTTTCGTTGGACGAACGAAAAATTCATTACCAAATTTTTCATCAAAGTAAATTAATCATTTAATTAATTCATACATTTTTAGCATTTTTTTTTTATTTTCAAACATTTTATTATTAAACAAACATTTTAAAATGAATTTTAGGATAGTGAGAAAGCAAAATTGTTGTTTACGGATTTTTCATGAAAAAACCGTTGGTAGCTCAATGGAAGAAAGTGGCGGCGATGTTCAACAAATTGGTCCAGATGAAGTCTCAGTAGCAAGCAGTAATTATATCCGATATTACAGTGCACAAAATCGTTTAAAACGATCACCACAAGCAAGCTTAATTAATCAGGTTAATTAACCTATATCAATGATAAACCATAATAATCATACCTATATTTTAATATTATTAATTTTTTCTGAAATAATCGTGTGAATATTTTATCGTTAATTTTGCTTTGTTTCTTTTTTTTTTTCCTACTAAAATTGATTGACTAAATTTCACGTAAAATTTGTTATCAAATTATCATATCTGGCAGTATCCTAAATATGATCGATGCAACATCCGTTAATGAACAAAATTATGAATTAACGATTGCAAATATAAAAATCTAATTTTACTACTACTTTTTTTTGTCATTTATTCTGATACTATTTTACTGATTGACATATAAATAAGATTTAAAAAATATTTCGCTTTTTTTTTGAAGTAAAATATTGCAGGAAAGTAACAGTTTATTAACGGAAACAATATCACCTGCAGGTGATCGAATTTCACGTAAAGATAAATCTTCCACATATACTGTTTTAATTGAATTAAAAGATAGCGAGCAAGGACAGTCACGTATACGTCTTTCATCGTGCGATTCGGATATTTCTGAGTATATTTCTAATTCTTTTTCATTTTCCTGTTTTTTTTTTCTAAAAAAAAAGAATCATTATTTACTAATTTATTAACGAAGTCATGATTCTTTATAAATTAATCATTAATCCAAGTTTATCCTCATATCAGCAATCAATCATTTATCCTTATTCTTAAATTGCTGAATTGGCAAATGAATGAGGAATTTTTCTTCATTATTTTTTTCTTTGCTAAATTAAAATAAATTAATTTTATTCATTTATTAAAGAATTACTTTATTCATTACTAAATTAATAAAATTAATTAACTTAATTTAACAGATAACATTTAAGTGTATTTGAATTAAGCCATATTTTCTTTCATTGTGATTTTTAGTACTTCTTATCAAATTCATAATCAAATTTAAATTAGCTGTTTTCTTTTAAAGATTATCACGCTCTGGAACGGACAGAATAGAAGATGTTCGTAAAAATATGGTTTCTCAACAACTTTTAAATGGAACTATTTTAGCCAAGTAAGAGAGTATTGTAAATTTCAAGAAATTTTATTTTAAATTTAGGGTGGTGAATTATTTTTAGATACTAGTTAATCGTTTCCTTTTTTGAACTTTTGATAAGAATTAGTGTGAATAGCTAATTAAAAATGAATGTATATGGAATAATTAACTATTTATTGATCACTTGTTTAGTTAATTATTGCTGTTTACTATGAAAATGATAAAATTTTATAATATTTAAGTTTACTTTTTTTGTAGTAAAACTTTATAATGCCTTTTAAGCAAATAATTTCAGCAAATTATTTAACGAGCAACGAAAAAGTGAGAAGGAACGCAGAAAAAATGAAAGAAAGCAAGAAAGTAAAGCAGCAAAAACACTTTCCGCCATTTTATTAGCATTTATTATTACTTGGACGCCTTACAATGGTGAATAATATTCATTTTAATTAGTTAAACTTATCAATAATTACTTCTCATTTATATTAACAAAGCAAAAAAAGGTGATAGCTCATATGGTTAATTCAGTACTGGAAATGCTTACTTTCGTTACTTAATTATTAATTAAACTCTCGAATTTTTTCTAAATGTTAAACTCTAAAATGATAAATTGAATTACCTTCTGAACTTTGCACAGTTTAGTCTATATAGTTAATTTATTGCCGGAAATGCGCACTTATTCATCGATTATTGAACAAGTTCTTGAATTTGCGTCGAAATACTGAAATTTTAAAATCATAAATTAAGCTAGCTTCAAAACTTAGCATTGTTTGATCATCTTAAATTAGCAAATTTCGAATTTCAAAATTAAGCTTCACTTTTTTTTTCATCATTTATTTGTTGCATGCGCAATTTTCCACTGCTATATCATTAATTAATTAAGAAAAGATAGAAAAATGTTACAAAAAATTGATGGTAAGTTTTTTATTTTTTTTTGTTGTTGTTGCGTTTTCAAAGCTGAATACATCTGTGTATTCATGAAGTTGCAAAATAAATAATGAAATGAATCAAAATTTTCGTTAAATTTGACAATAATTTTCGAAATTATTTGTTTTTGAAATCTCTCAATGATTTAAAATCAATTAATAAATTTCACCACTAATAAACTTTTAAAGTGATATACATTGTGAAATTTCGAAAACATTTGATAGAATTTGCTTCATGTTTTTTTTTTTTTCATTCCAAAATATTATTTTTCTATTTTTTTTTTATTCCAAAATATATATTATTATTACTTTTTTAATACATACAAACATAAGAAATTTTAAAATTATTCATACAATTCTAAAAATTCTAAGCATTTTATTCCTTTTCTGTTTTGTACAAAGAAATCATTTCAATACTTTAATTAGAAAAAATGACAAGTATTTATAATACATATATAATTATTATCCACAAAATTAATTAATATTTTCGTTACAGAAAAAAATGAACTATTCATAAATGAAATGAATTACTAACAATCATATTTATACGTACATTTTATTTTTCAGTTATTGTATGCTGGGAAGCATTTTATAAAGATTCCATTCCGGCGGTATATTTTCATATTGCATACTTTTTATGCTACATCAATTCAACGATAAATCCATTTTGTTATGCTTTTTGTAATCCACGATTTCGTCTAACTTATATGCGAATTTTAACGGGAAATTGGAAACGACAGAATGTCCTTGGCTTAAGCAAAATGGCATTTTTGAATCGAAGTTAACAATGAGGTGTGAAGAAAGAAAAATGAAACTTTTTTAACCTCTTATTAATCGTAAATAAAATAATATTCTATAATTTTAACAAAAAGATTGTTCTTTTTATGAATAATATTTCATCTTCCATTATTATATTTTGTAGTACACGAGCATTTCGTTTTTTTTTATCATGTATAGCTTTAATTGTTTGTATATGATGTTTAGATATGTTTATTGACCATTCCTTTTTTTGCATGTTTTTGTTGTTATTTACAAATTAATTTATTGTAAAATAAATCTTAAATTTTTATCTTCTAATTATTTGTCTTCCATATTAAAGCATAAATTTAGAAAGTTTTGTTTAATTTTAAATTTTGATAATTTGTAGCATTATGTCGAGAGATTTTATGTTGTAATTTAATGTTATTATATTACTATTACTATTCATTCTCAGTGAAAATTTTCCCCTTCTTTTTTTGCTTTTTTTTGAAAGTTTTTTATAAGGTTTATATAAGAATGGAATTGCTCATGTGTGAAAAATCCGAAGATTTACATATTCATTGTTGATATGCTTCAAATTTTAATAATCAAAAATGCCTCCTCAAGTAACAATTACAGATCATTAGAAATCATTACATAATTGCAGTAACAATTTATTAAATATAATTATCATAATTTTTTCTTATTTTTTCGAAAAAAAAAATTTTAGCAACAAGGAAAGGAAAGATAATAATTTATAATTTTCATATTTACCATGAAGTTTCATAAGACAAAAAAAAAAAAAAAAAAAAAACGGAAAAAATTACTTCAATAGATCTTGTCATATCTATCATATCATATTTTTATTATATATCATTTGTTTTAACTTAAAATATCACAAAAAGCATTAAAAGAACTTAATAAAGTAAAGTGAACACATAAATGATATTTTAAATATTTATTGAAATTATAGAAAAACTGAAAATAGAATTATACTTAAATATAAAACAAACAGAAACTGTGGTTAAATAATTGTATGAAAATTTTCCTATTTATCCAATCAGTAAGAAAAGAAAAGGGATTAATTAACAGAAAAGAAAGATAAACTATGATTTCTAGTAGTTGTAACAATTTCAAGGACGAAAAATTCCTTCTTCTTTCTTCTTCTTACAGTTTTGAAATATTATTAATAAATGAAAGAATAATTGATAAAAGGCATAACTTTTTGAAATTTCTCCCATTTTTTTTCAAATGAAAAACTGGAAAACTCATTTTTTTATTGTAAGATTTTAAACCACTTTTAACGTTTATCACGTTTTTCTCACAAAATATCGTAAAAGGTGTAAAAATTATGTAAGCAACAATATTAATTAAAGTGATAGTAATGAATTATGAATTATATATTCATATTATCCATGCAGTTTTTATCCAATCAAGACAAAATCATTTTATGATATAAAATAAAAGTTAAAAAATTTATATTTGTTTAAGCATTTTGAAAAATTACAGTATATTTAAAATTAAATCATTTTTTTGTGAAAGTATTAATTGGAATATATATTATTTATAAAAAAACCCAATTAAATAATAAAAAAATCATTGAAAAACTCGAACAAAACGTATGTTTGATTTTCTTTTAAAATATTTAACATATCACTTTTTTATGCCGAAACAAAAATTTCTGAGGTTTCTTCAATATTTTTTATCAATGATATGATTGTAGAATAATGATAAAATTGTAGAATTTTTGTTGAATAGTTTGAAATATTCATTAATAATGAACGAACTTCACCCAGATAATTTAAATGATCATTCAAAGCAACTCCGAAAGGAGTTGAAAGTGCCCCAGACAGAACCATACACAGTGGCTCAAGGAGAAGAGAACAATAAAACGGGTAATTTATAATTTTAATAACTTTGGAAATGATTATATGTCTGTAATTTGTGGGAGAAAATATAATATATTTTGATCTCTTCGTGATAAAATCTTATGAACTTCACCAAAATCGATTCATTCGATATTCTAACAACAATTTGTGCAACAATGTTCTCTTATAATTTCTATTTTCAGCGTATTTACGGCAAACAGTTAGAAACTGAAAGAGTGACGTATTCAAGCCTCAAAGACAATACAGGCAAAATGGTAAGTGTTTTGAAATAGAATTTTCATTTAGTTTTTAAAGATGTTTCTACATTGATTCATTTAAAAGCCAGTAGACTCATTAATCATACATATTCCAGGCTTTTGCGCCCGTTGTGGCTATCATCTCTTGCTGCCATCTTGATTTACGGTCGCATACAGAACGGCAGCGGTGGAACTTCATGTCCTCAACTGGTTTCCGAGGACATGTGTGGCAATAATCAGCGAAAAACAGATAAAAAAAACTGGCTCTGTGGGGAGAGAAGAGGATGCTCATCACCTCTTCATTTCAGGTAAGAAATTGGTACCACTTAAAAAGCAAGATTTAAATGTTAAAAACGAAAAATTGAATAACTATAATTGAAATTGAATGATTATCTCATAGTTTTTCAATCAGTGATTTTTTTTTTTTGTTTCAGGTCAATCGGTCTTCCTCACACGGTCAACCATTCGTTGTTTGCTTCAGTTCTCCATCCTCTATCCAATGAAATATGTCTAAGCGGGTTAATAATATTCAAAAAATATAAATGCAAAAACCAAACAAAAATGAAAGTATTAAAAAAGAAAAAATTCGGAAAACAAAAAAGTAGAAGAAATTGTTAAAAAATGCAAAAAGAAAAACAGGAAAAAATAAAAAAATGGTTCAAAAAAAAATCAAAAGGATAAGAAAAACAAAAACAAAGAAAAAACAAAAAAAGAAAAAGAAAAAGTGAAAAAAATAAAAAAAAAAGAGAAAATTGAAAAAAAAAAATGCAAAACAAAGCAGAAAAAATAAGAAAAACGGAAAAAAACAAAAATTAAAAAAATGCAAGGAAAAGTGGCAAAAAGATTAAAAAAAAAGGCAAAACAAAAAAGCAAAAAAATAAAAATTAGAGAAGAATAAAATTGAAAAAAAGCTTTTTTGTTTGATTTAGGTGTAAGAACAATTGATTTCGAAGTATTTTGTAACTGTTTTACACTTGCATATCTCATTTATTGTCTGCAGTGACTAAGTAAAATCAAAATGCTTATAAAAGGGAATTTCTTTATTTTGCCATTGGAAAATGGAACATAGCTTGTTTTAGATCAAATCAATTTGAAATCACTCTTTCTTCCTTTTTTATTTTTTGTTTCCTTCACTAACTCTTTGTGATCAGCTAACTTTTATTAAAAATTTATTGTTATATTTTACTATTTTTTCACTCAAGTAATGTTGTGAATAATTTAGGCATGATCCCTTTCTTGAAATTCCACTTCCTATTACATACTTTCGTTCCATTTAATATCGACAGTACATATGGACCTCATCTGATGATTCGATATATAATTATTATTAATAACTTTTTTTTTTTGTTTTTTAAATCCTTCACAACTATCGTTTATTTTTAACTTTTATATTATTTCAGCCGTTATTTTTGTTTGCTGAAAATTTTGATTATTGTTATAATGTTTAACATTTATTTTTGAATTTTTGCTCTTTTAATTTTTTCTTCGTGAATTGCGTTCAAGTTCAAACTTCTCCCCTTGTTTTTTGAAATTATTTAGGTTTTATTTGAATTATTAGATTTTCGGAATTTTCATTTCTTCTTTTTCTGGAGTTAATACGATATTTGAATTTTCTATTTGCAAATTAGACTATCTTAGCCTTCTTGTTTTCCAAATTTTTTCATTTTCTCTGTGTTTTGTATACCCAATGGTAAATATGGTGTTAATCGAATCGAATACAATAGTTGAATTAGAACGTATCTTTTTGCCGTATCTGAATAACTGGACCTTTCCAGAAAGTCATTTAGGCAGTTTAATACAGGTAATTTCTTCATTCACAAGATTTTTTTATTGACGAAAAAACCATTTCTTAATAAGAATTCTATAAAATTCGCATCTTTCTAGGTTATACTTCCGGGATTTCTGTCCAGTTTTTCACACATCTGACACTTATTTGGATCCTGTCAGAAGCTTCCTGTAACAAATGTAATACTTAAATTCTTGTATATTTGAAATAAAAATTTTTCATCCTCCAATTCGTAATTACAGTTGCTGCAGTAGAATAAGCATAACCTCTATTCCATATAATACATTTGAAAACAAACATCAGGATCAACCAATCCTTTAGATATGAAATTTCAGAAGATAGTCATCCTGAATAGCATATAAAACTTGAAAACAGATTCACTCATCACAAAAATGGCAGGTGAAAATTACCAGTGAACTTTGATAATTATATTCTTCATCAGATTTTCTAATAGAATTGACTTGTCAACATCTTTACATGTCGGTTTCATTTACTTCAACAAATATTCTTGTCGAATCTTATTCTTCCCAGCTCATTTAACTATTGACTTACAACTAATTACCTTACTCTTTTATTAACCATATACTTTACCTGACTTCTTTTTTAGTTATATACTTAAAGTGTTAATTATTAATAGTGCAAAACAAAGCAGAAATATCATCCATGCATTTATTACCGAGTATAGTGTTACAAATGTAGCAGTAATTTGATGATGTCAAAATCTGTAAGCAATAACTAGCTCGACTATGGAAGAACGAATTCACAGGGAAACCGGCAATTAATAGAAAAGTATTTTAAGATTATCAAGCAATAAAAAGAAGTTAAAATAACTTTAAAATTGCCTGAAAATTTTCGGAATTTTTTTTTTTGGAGTTATTTTGATATTTAAATTTTCTATTTTCGAATTAGATTATCTTAGTTCTCTTTTTTTTTTTTTTTTTTTGGTTTTTTAATTTATGAAATTGTTTAAATTCTTTGAATCAACAGAAATTGTTTTTTGGCATTAATTTCAAGCAGGTTTTGTAATCGAATTTAAATGCTTCTACTTAATTTACTTTGTTTTTTTTTCGCTTAACTTGTTGCATGCTTTCCATTACTATAATATTTTATATAATTGCAGTCTCGAGTCTTTTTCT